GGGGGCGGTGAGGCCCCGAGGGCACCCCTCGGCCCCAAGGCGGAGCTGCCCGACCCGGCGCAGGGACGACGGCTTCGTTTCAGAGCTTGTGGGCACCGGGTTTTTCTTGCCAACGGGTCGTTGTCTGCCCAGGTGGATCCTTGGCCGCACACGGGGGCGGCGATCGGTGCGTGCTGGTCCTGGCTGTGAAGCATGAACGAGGCGGCAGCAGGGAGGCCCCGCGTTGGTGGCACCCTCTTGCTGGCCTCCGTGTACCCCTTCAACATGCTTACTCGCTTCCCCCTCCGCGACGTGTCGGGTCTCATCTGTTGGTCTCATATACAGTTTATTTACAATTTTCCCATCTTAATATGAGAAGGAAAATGCTTCTGAAGCCCTTGGGGAGTTACAGGTGCGACACATTACGGTGGAGCCTGGGACTCCCCCCACGGAGGTAACCAGAGGAGCACATGGGCCCAGGCAGGGCCGGCCAGCCCAGGTGCCACAAATGTAAAATTAGAGCTAAAACCAGCATAAAGCAAGTAACGATGTACTCTACCAAGAGACAAATGCTAAGGGCTCTGTTGCAGAAATCACCAGATTTAGGATTTTAGGCTACTGCTTAGAAACCCCCTTACTTTTCCCATCTTGATTTGAATATCAAGAATTCTAATTAGTGAATATTAGTAGGAGAGACTAATGATTATGTTGGGAAAATAAGTCTCAAATGGAATAAATTATCAATAATAAATCTGTATTGCCAATGCTGCTGGCATACTCCTGTAAAATTCCAGACCTAAGGTATTCATTAACCAATGATCTGTTAGTGGTTAGAAACAAGGACAGGATGTTGTAGTCCAAGATGTCTGCAAAGACAGGATTTATGATGGTACTCATTGTGTATGATCTTTGAATCATGACCGAAGTAGGTATGAGCCAAGATCCTATGAGCCAAGGACATGTTCCTTGACCATATATGGTCAATTCGAGGAGTGGTTGAGACCTCCGACTCACGGACCACGTACCCAAATTATACCACCTACTCAAAAGAGAACAATAGAAGACTATGACAGAGGCTGCGTGCTAATTTGCATCAGAAGCGAGAGGAGAAGAACCAACCATCGAGAGGATGAAAATGAATATGCATTGTATAGACTGAATATGTATGAATTTAATATATAAATATTTGTTGATTGCAATGTGCAGGCGGACATCTTTGAGAAGGATCCCATGTCCCCGGTGCGCATCGTTAACAAAGGACGTCTCTACTTATCTAACTGTGTGTAGATAAGTTTTTCTTACCACTGCAGATTTGCAACAGCTCCAAAGCAAGAGTAGGCTTCTAGGCAAAAGCAGTGTCTTTTACAGAAAAAAAAAAAAACAACCAGGTACACCTACTCAAGGTCTTTTAGACTGGAAAAAACCTTTGTTGTTGTTTTCAATTATATTTGTGTTAAGAAAAAAATAGTATCGCTACCTGCAAAGTTGTCCCTTTCCTTAGGATATGTGGCTACGACAAAACTACCACCAGAGACTCCAGGGACTCGCAGACACGAGACCTGCCAACTGTTTGATATGCACAACACGCTGTGAAGACACTGACAGCTTGACGAAGTAATTCTGCACGGATGCCGTTACTGGCTGCGAATTCACACATCACGTTCCCCTTCCTCCCAAACCTGAGACAGGCAGACGTGTTTTATATTTAGTCTCAGAGAAGCACAGAATGGGAAGGAGCCCCTTGCCCTCCACTTAGCATCACTGACCAGCCTCTGCTATCATAAATAGACAAGGTGCGTCTAAGCCTTTTCACAGGATGATGAAAACTAGTGAAAAAAGGCTGTTCTGCACTCTAGGAGTGTTATAATGGCAAAATATTGATTTGAAAGCCAGCTATTTAAAAAATGAGAAGTGCTTAAGCATTGCCTAAGATCTACACAATTGGGCTTTAACAGCTTAGGGCACTCATGCCTATGACAACAAACCATTTTCCCTGTGCCCGATCCCTTGGATTAGAGTCAGAAATGGTTAATGTGTCTAGCTGAATGACAGATAAATGCCCACAAATAAATCATACAGATGAACTGATAACTTATCTGTCCCATGGTATTATGTTCAAAGTTCACGACTGCTCTCAGGGAAACAAACCATCAATAAGTACATGTTAAACTGAGCTCTTTATTTAATGGCCACTGTTACCAGCAAACATACTAGTATCTGGTCTCTGCTCTTACCTTTACAAAAATCCTCTTTTTTTAATAGAAGTATAAAGAGATTTTTCAATAGAATTGGAGGTTGCAATTTTGATTCTACAAAATGATGATTTTTAAGAGTAATTTCACTTAAGTGCAAATGTCACTTAAGACACGACATCAGTGTTCAGTTTTCACAGCCAGCAACTTTATGAGATAAACTGTACTTGTATCAAGATATACTGTACACATATCAATAAAAATTCTGCAAAAAAAGTACTGCATGATTACCAAGAAGTCAAAAGCGTGCCTTCTAGTACAGAAAGTGAGTTTCTTTTACTTGGATGTCACCAACATGGGGTAAAAGTGGTCAGAGCTCCTAAGCAATATCTAATGCAGCTGATACTTTTATGATCCCACCTGTTTTCCAGCTAAAAAGAAATATAATTAAATAAATGTAATAACTTTTTTCTATCATGTAAGTGGAAATGTTAAATAAGTTTAAGGACAGAATAAGGTTTTTTTAATTGTCTTTGATAAAACCATTTCATGATGATTGCCGTTTAGTAAGCCTGAATTTGGCAGAGCAAACATTTAAAACTCACAAGTATTTTTAACTCAAAATGTCAATAAAAGCACAATACATTATTTCCTAAGAGTAAAAGGTTATCACTATAAAAGGAAACACAAAATACAAGGTTTTTGTAACTATTAAAACCTCTGTCTGTAACAGTATTTTGCTGTGTGAAACCTCATCTCTGAAACAGACACATCCATTTTTGGAACTGCATTCCCTAGTGGGTATAGCCACTGGGATAAACACAAAAGTAGAATAAATTTCCACTATTAAGCTTGTAATAATCTCTCCGATGACTGAAATAAAAATATTTTTTCTATATGCTTATTTACCATATTTTTAGCAACGTTATTTACATTTGCTTGTTTCTTATCATTCTATTGTGAAATCCCCATTTACTTATGAGACTTAAGTAGAGGATCTGTAGAAATGATTGCTTATTAAGACCAGAGAAAGGGAGATCAAATTAATATTTTCATAAAGTTAAAGCAGTATGTAACAGTGTAGAATTTAAAGGTAAAGGCACTTTTAAAATATTCATTAAACACTTTGATATATTATGTATTTAAATTAAAGTAACAGATTGACCTCTCTGATTGGCATCTGTAGTAACAGCAGTGTAAATCACAGTTAAGTGGCCTTCTTTAATCTTTGAATTCGGGCAACTGAGCCTTCCATTCCCTTCTCCCTCGATTCCAGCCACCTCCATCAGCCACTGTAGGACCTGCTTGCACTCCTAAGAACTCCCCTTCCCTCCCACACCTGGGATCTGAGCAAAAAACGCAAGTTGCCCTGCACCAAATGCCTTCAACCTCACTTCTTTTCCTCTGCCAACAGGCATACAGAGGCATCAGGCCCATAAAGACATTGTCCCTGATGCGAATCAGCTTTGTAAGCTTCTCCCAACTCTTGCTATAAAGTCTCGGTACACACAGAATGACCTGAAAAGTCTTCAGTCCAAGAGACATCTTCAAGTATTTTTAAGGACTTACACCCCTTTGTTTTCCAAGGGGACTAACAAAGTTAGCTCAGGCTCTGCTTCTGCCTCCTCAACTGCAGCCTCTGCCAGTTATTCTGTACCAAGTTCTCGCTGTGCTGCTTCGCAGATTTAAACCACCACACAAAGCTGCCAAATTTTAAATTTTCCTGTCCCCTACCTTTAACACAACATATGCTGCCACAGCTGTGATATGGACAAAGAATACGAAAGCACATCTCCCTTCCTGAGGGACTCGGTCCATGTCGGATTAGACATGATGAAAGAGAACCTGTTGGATAAGTAAGTCTATATCAAACACTGTATGATTATTAGTTTCCATGCAAGAAATAGCATATCCATTTCCACCTAATGTTTTCAGAAGCTTACTGTAATAGAAGCGTTGTTATGGACAGAATCGGACAAACAGAATTGGGAGAATGGTACCGTGTGCTTGCTTTACTGCGATAAAGTACATGAGCAGGATCCCTTCAAGTAGCTAGTAAGTATGTGTGGAAGCAGGTTTACAAGTGACAGAACGTCACATCTAAAAAATATTTGTACGCTGGCAAGAACGGAGCCTAGAGAAGCGTGAAAGAGGAAGGATATGTTTGAATTTTATGTAAAGGTGATGAAACGAACAGGAAGGAAAAAAAAAAGATTTAAAGAAAAGATTAAAATGTCGATATTAACAGAACAAATCCCACCACGTAAAAATCCACAAACAAGATGAGTTCTAAGGACTCTACAAATAAAGAAACTGCGTCATAAAAGTCTAAGAATAAGACATATATCTTCTTTGCCTTACTGCAATATAATACTTAAACACATGGTTATTATCTCAGATCATAAATAACAGTTCTGTAAATCTCTAAATATGATTTTCCATTCTCAAAGGATTATCTGTGTAACAGTTCTGGAGATTAGAAACACATTGATTAAAGTACCAATTTTATGATAATTAAAATTTCATTTCAGCAATAGAACAAAACGGCAAAATAAAGACATGAAGAAACACAAGTACACAGCTAGGCACAGCGAAAAATACTCTTCAAAACAACAAGTAACTGTGCCACATAATAAATATTTCTTTATTAATCTCATGGCTTCTTTGATGGCACTGGACTTCTCTCTTTCCGTTGAGCAGCCTTCTCCTTTTTCAGCTGTAACAAATACAGACACCAGCAGTGGTTCAAGCATTACTTTGCAAGTCGGCCAGCAATGCAGTATTAAATCTCTCCATCCAGTCACACCAGAGTGATACATGCAGTGGAGAGAGAGCTACAGATCATTATTCGCCCAGCCTAGCATTGCCTACTTTTGCACTACCAGAGAAAGGAGCATTTCCGCAGCTCTGCAGCTCCTCCCCTACTCAAACCAGGGCTGCCTTTATCTCTGATTGTGGCAGTGTAGGTATTTATGTATCCCTCAAGGTCAAAGCACCTCACAAATGTTCTTTATGTCAACGAAAGGTAAACAAGCTTTATTACAGAGGTGTACCAGACACAGTTAGACTAACCACCCTGCGCTGAATCACACAGGAAGTTTGTTGCTGAGGCCTCCTCACAGGGTCATGTCTCCCTCTCGTAAGATTTTTCTGCACAGTAGGCTCTTACAGCATGGTATGATTTACCAACACATACACGTTTAACTGCCATTTTGTAGTAAGACTATTAATCCAAGCAAATATATCTGTTGGTTTTAGATCAACAGTTGTTCTCAGGTATTGTTATATTAGTGCATGAAATTCCATTTAGACCAATTATAATAAAGGGACGCATGGACCCACTTTTGCATCTCATCTAACAGAAGATATCATGTTGCTATCAAAAATGCAAGGGAAAATGAAATTTTTAACATGCCTTTTTCCCACATAAAATAGTGTCAAAAGGAAGAAAGACCTCAGTCCTGATTTGGATGTCTACAAATTAACCCACTGCTAAGCAATCCTGTTGTTGGTCTACACAGGAACTCATTTAAAACATTTTTCCATATTTGGAGGCCTGAGGTTTGTACCTGAAATTCCTACTGCTTTTTGCAAAGAAAAGAAAATCTTGGGGCAAAAAAGAAACAGCAATTTAGATTTGATAGTAACGTGTTTTCTCCTATAAACTAATACTACATTTGTAACATCTTACTGTATTTTGTGATGATTTCCAAATAAAGAAAATTATTTAAAATTTCACAAACCTAGAATAGCTTTCTCATTAACAAACACCTTGCATAGCATAACAGCAGTTAAGATTTTAAAAGTTAATTATGCAACACTGCCTTACGAAAGAATTAATGAACAGTCAAGACATATTTCCAGCTGAGATAGTGGAGCTAAGGAGCTAATGTGGGAAACAATAGGTATTTAAGTAACCTGCACCACAGGGCATTTAAATTTAAGCTAGTCAGTGGGGTGGAAGAGGCACCTTTTAGGGATGATTCAGATCATCTAAGAAAGGCACACCAGATTTAGCCCACCTACACGGACATTGGTAAGAAAGTTTTATAAATGAGGTAGCAAGCACACGTTCCTAAGTGTCACAAGGGACTTTCTGTGAGTGTGTTTTGTTGTTTCTTTTTGTCACATAGGAAAATAGTTTCGTTTTCTGTAACGGAGAGTTACCTCAATAAAAATCTGCCCAGTTAAGTTAAATAACATCCCAGACATGACTGACTTCTGAAATCTGGCAATAGCTCATAGTTGTATTTAAAACTTTATTTTAAGAAGCTAGGGTTTTCTCAGGAAGAGAACAAACGATATAATGCATTTATATGCCACTTAAATCATACATTTATCTTTTTTAGACATCCTCTTGTGAAAATATATTTGAATCAAGCAACAAATGTAGTAACTTGCCCGTTCTTGATAACGTTTTTCAAAGTAAGCCATGTCATCATCTTCTGAACGCTCTCCATGAGAAACTTGCCTTGTGGCACTAGAACTACCTGGAAAAAACCCCAAAACAAGCCTTTTTGCATTTGTGATACTTGCTACTCTATTAGTTATGTTTTACATTCAGCAAAACAAATTTAAAATGATAACTCACCTATTGTAGGCAAGTAAAAAACCCCAGCAATCGGGACCAAAGAGTAACCTCTTTAGTCTAGGCTAGCAGCTATTACAGTCTTGGAGGAGTTCAACAGTTATATTAATTCCTAAATTCTTATACCGGATAAAGGACATAAAATAAGCATAACCAATTCATAATTCCATGCAGAAAAGACTCTCCTGCAGAAGGCAGTTTCACAGGATTGTGCTGAGTATGTACAATCCATTCAGATACGACGAGCTTCTAGCAGGAATTAGAAATTTAAAAAAACGATCCAATAAATAAGTGACACCATTAATGGGGAAGGCACCAAATGCCAGAAAAAAATCATTAAAGTTAAAAAGCACATCATGAGCAAAAATAAGAATCAGTATCAACAGTTATTCTAAGCACTTCAAGTACATGAATGTAGGTTTTCACATAACAGGGCTTCAATACTCATTTTAATTTTCAATTTTGATTTTAGCCCTAAGCATCCTTCAACTCGTAAATAAACCAATTCATTTTATATTAAATACTCTTTGTAAAACAGTACTATCCTACTAATACAGCATCTGCTATCTGTGAGATGGGTTGAGCAGAACTAGAAGGTCCCTGAAATGGTTTTAGAAATGGATGATCCATGCTGGTAGTGGGGCATCCTAAAAGCTCAGCAGAAGGAGCCCCTGTTAGAAAATAAGTGGAATGAAAACAAAAATTAACTTCATGACATACATTACGAATCTATATGATGGGGTCAAAACAAGGCTACAATTCATACCTACAACACTCAATGCAGACCCCATAAATTCGAGTTGACAAAAGCATTACAGAGGATGGCTTCAAAAGAAGTGAAAAGCTTTGTTTCTTTAACTACTACGGCTATGCTACAGTTTCTAAACTTCAGACAACTCCAGGAAACCAGATCAGAATTTAGAAAAGAAATAACAAGTACAAGACAACAATAAATAAAACAGCATTTCAGGACAAAATGTGTCCTTTACTAAATGGCACAAAATCACAGAGCAGCAGAGGTATCAAGGCCAACTAACATGCCTGTCAAAATAAAGTTCTACAAATAACCGCTTTTTTTTTTTTATGCGGAGCAGCTATTAAACTTCAAGTTTGGGGAAAAAAAATGCTGTAACTGTATAACCAAGAAATACCTGGGCAGTATTAGGCTAAAGGATTAATACAAATATAATATAAGAGAAAAACAGAAGTTACAGAGTTCTTTCTAAAAGTTATGCTCCACTGCAAACAGAAGCTACTGGGCTGGACACCAGAATTGTAGATAAAGAGGTTTTTTATCAATTCACTACAGGAAGTTGGACAAGATGGTCACAGTGGTCTCTTCACACCTAAGGACTGCTGGAAACAAACAAAAAAAATCTGTCTTAAAACCTATTCCTACGGATACAGTTTGCCTTTGAACTTTGAAAATCTAGGTCGAATTACTACTTTTCAAAAGTACTTAGTTGGAGAGTTAAAATTTCATCTCAGGTCAGCTGCACTTACCTAGTCCACTGTCATCGAGTCTCATGTAACCTTCTGCAAGTGAACTAAAACCAGTCAGTCCTCCCATAGCAGCGTAAGGAACGTCCTGCCCCACAGGCTTTCCTTGGGCTAAGCGCTCTTGTTTAGTTTCCACGACTGTTTCATGAGCGTATGTTGGGTGGCCACATGCACAGGTAAAGCAACTATGAAAGCCCGAACACTTGGAACCTAATTAACAAATAAATAAGTGTAATGAGCGAAATGATAATGGAATTTATACTTCATTGCAGGCCAAACAGTGTTTCTCTAAACTGATCTTGTCAAAAAGTAGAGTTCCTTCACTGCAAAAGCATCCAGCTCTATGAAAATGCTGTAAAAACCAGAAGGAAGGATGAATGTGGGGACTAGATCATAGGGGTCATCCAGTCTCAGTGTCTCATTCAGTCAAGGTTTGAGTACCGCCGAGGATGGAGACTCTCTGAGCAGCCTGGACCAATGCTGGTGTTCCCTTGGAGCAGACATTTCTTTCCTAACATCTAACTGGATTTCCTGTGTTGCAACTTGTGTCCATTGCCATTAGTAACACCCTTCTCTATCCTGCCCCTGACAAAAAATAGAAAGAAAAAAAATTCTGTCACTGGGTAAAGAAGACAACCCGCCAGCACTTTGGCAGTGTTCTCTCCAAAGGTGTACAGCATGTGCTAATGTTGCACGGCCAGAAAACTTCAAATCACAATTTATGACACAAATCGTAATTTAAATGTCTTTTAGCAAAATTATCTCAGTAGTAAAGAGAGGCTGTGGCAACAGCAAAATGGCCGCCATGTAACAGTACCATTAGACTGACTTTGGGGGTTTTTTTAAGCTGACATAGCCACAGGATGTAACTGAAATAGTTACACAAATGCCATGTGACATTCAGAAATACAGAGTGAAGGGATGTATCTGCCCTAGCTGCTGCTAAGACTGTCATCAAAGCCCTGCTGGAGCAGTGATGTGAACAAGAAATTGAGCAACTGATTTTGCAAATGTTTCATTATACAAATTACCCTGCTTCCAACTCCCAGTTACAATGCATTTTGCACAGCACAAAGGAAGATTTTTTTAAGTCTTGTGTAGTATGTTCAAGGATCACATTGCTGGAAACATGAAAGGCTTTTTCATATAATGTTGAGCACTCCTCAGTAATAGAGCTCTTACTCTGTATTTGGCTACAGAATAAAGCATATACTATATATTAAGTGCAACAGGAGTATTTTTTCAATTATGATTTACCTATTGCATCAGATTTATACAACACTGGGCTAGACTAATACCAGTACATTAAAACAACACAAGTCCAAAACAGAAGCAAGTCTTCACTAGTACTTCTCTGTGTAATCTGTGAAGCCCTCAGAAGTGCCAGGTATTTTTGAGGAACACCAGAAAATGTGCATAATGTAAATGATTATCAAAAACAACATGTTCTAAGGATTCAGTCTGAACCATCCAACTGCACGTTCAGGACTTTCACATTACTTAGAGCAAATTATTGAAAGGCTGTCATATAAATATTTTATATTTTATTCCGTGGGATATGATTCTCATCCACCAAAAGCTGTTTATGATTTTTCCTGTACAAATTAGACAGACTTTGTGAAAGAAATTTACTAACAGTACGGGACTCTAGCAAAAATACCTTCGGTTTATGTAACTTGAGGTTTCAAACTAAAACATCCTTATGCGTTATTTATTTTCTATGGTTAATAATTACTGCTGTTTCATTACAATAACCTTGAATAACTGAAGCAAAAAGGTTCTTAATGCCTTCTCAAACCTTTTGCTTGAAACTCCACTCCCATTTGCCTTTCTGGACCCACCATCTGTATGCTCTGGAACGGCTTTGTTAGAGTGCTAACAATAGTACTATTTGGGAACAGAGCGCAACTTCCTATTGAGTTGAGAAAAGATATAAAAATACATTAACGTCACATTCAACCAGGCACTAGAGGGATGGAGAGCAACACTTCTCTCTCTCAAACTACCAAGTTCAAGTAGAAGAGTCACGTGCACGCGGCAGTGGAAGTGACAAACTGCAGACGGGGTGCTTTCATTCTGCCTAGCTTTAGGCGGCTATCTCCATATGCACCTAACCGAGTCGTTCAGAAATGTTCCCTCACAGGACTTGGGGAAGGTAAGGATGTTGTTCTAAACCCTCCTGTGCAAAAGGCAATGTCTTCCTTCCCATTTCCCATCCTTCTGCAAGGACCAAAATATACATCAGCGACAAGGGCAGAACACAGATCCCCAATGTGCTGTCCCTGTTAAGCTTCCCGGTAAAGACCGCTGCAAGCCCAGCCATAACTTACAAGAGTTACATGCAAATCCAGGCGCTGCGCTGTGCTCATCAGCAAAGTGTTTGCACCTACAACGGACGGGCTGCGTGCCATTCAGAGGGACGTAGTGATAGGACTGGCAGGGACAACGGCTCGCTCTACAAGGCACACAAATAGGACGGTCTTTGGGAATCACTTCATAGTCTGTTTTGTGTTGTTTATACCTAGACCAGGCAAAAATAATAACTTTTATAACTTTGTGAGTGTTTATCAGAAAACTAACTCAAAGGCTTATCATTTATCTTTCAAGTTCTGAAGTATCTTTATATTAATTAGTTAACTGTTAATTTTCAATTAAATGCATAATATCAATCAGGTGCTTTTACATCCATTCATTCCCTAAATATCACAGATCCTTACGTTTCATTTTTGACAGCACTATCAGAATCAACCTGATCTACAATTACTCATGCCCTAAAGCTGAATTTATTGAAGACTACAAAACAATTTTGGTCTCAAAAAACATAGTGAGATTTTGATTTAAGAACAGTTCTTAGGATTTAAAACCTAATTTTCTCAACCCTTAGACCTTAAATGAACTTGCCTATACTGTACCGTAATACATCTGGAAACATTTTACATTTTCCTGATTTTAAAAAATACAACAGTGAAAAAAAGGAAAGATACCAACCGGTGCGTACAAAAGCACAGCGTCTCTGGTCCCACAAGCTTACAGTCCATGCCTGTTGGTGATCTCCAGCTCACGTACAACCTGTTCTGTAACCGAATTGGTAATACTTTTCTTTTGTACTCTTCATACTCCTCGGGGGTAAAGAGCTTTCCTCCATCATCATCACCTACAATTCTGTATGCATGTCATTAAAAAAAATAAGAAAATTACAACATAAAAGTAGGTTTCTCAAGGTATTTTTTCAACGCATGTCATTAAAAAAAAATAAGAAAATTACAACAATAAAAGTAGGTTTCTCAAGGTATTTTTTCAAATATATAACAACACTTTCACTGCAAATGCAAAAAACATCTTTCATGATACTGTTCTAGTGATAAACATTTAACAGAACTACAGCTGATCTTTAGGGAAATTTTGTGAATAACACTCTTTTAAAAAACTTGCTCTGACAGACTGAAAATTAGCTTTGTAAGAGAGAAGGAAAAAGACAATAAAGCAAACTCCCAAGCTCCTTTTCAGACGGTAGAAAAAGCAATGGCCACCAGGGGCTGTGTAACCAGCCAGCCTTGCCTCAGACTTCTTGAATGACCTCTGGCAAGTCAGTTCAGCCATCTACACCTAACTGTACTGCAGTTTGTATCCGGTTACCTAATCTTAGCCTAGTCTGAGTTAGATTATTCAACTGCAAGTAGGTAACCACACTGCCATCAAAGGAACGATAGATACATCCAGGCTGTCTTCTGCTTTGCGAGAAGACTGCGCTAGTTTCCGTACGTAAAGCTGATGGCAGCTGTATCCCACCCCCGGCCAGGCCCACTTCTTTAAGCTAGCACTACCTTCAAATTCAGGGTCATTGAATAGCTGGAACTCCGGAGCAGTATCTGAATTCTACATTTATGGAGACAATTGCAGACAGTAAGTAAAATCTGTAAAATGCAATTTAGACTTAATTGCAGCACTTCACTATGCTGAAGGTTGGTTTATTGTCTGTAAATATTTCCCTTATTATTTGTTGGGTGTGCTAAAACATACTGAATGAGTGATTCTTTGTCTAATGATCTGTGGATTTGTGCACTGCCAGTACTGTACAGCACCACAGTAACGTGCCAGCACAGCGCTGTCATTTGCACCGACACCCACTGAGTCGGTGCATTAACTACTCCCCTATGGCATACCGCTGCGCCTCCTGCCTCTGATGTGTACTCAGGGTTTTCCTAAGCCGAATTAAGGCCACATTTCGGCACAGTGACTGAGTTCGGGTTTATTTTTGCTCAGCACCAGCCCTCCTAGAGAAGCGATGACGAGAGGAGTGTCACTTCGCTCGGGGACAGCCAACACACACG